TAATTTATATTTGAAATATGTATTATTAATATTTTATTAATATGTATTATTAATATTTTATTAATTAATAATAATACAAAACATGTTAAAAAAAGTAAAGGGTTAAAAGTTAGAATATAAAAAGGTTAGGGTTAAAAGTTAAAAAATTAAAAGGTTAAAAATGAAAATATTTAAGTTTTGTCTTTAGCTGTTTTTTGTCTGTTAGTGTAGGAGGGGGTGGGATTTAGTTGGTTAGAAAACCCCTAAAAATATCTCTCTTTCCCTTTCCCTTTCCCTCAATCTCACAAATAGCCAAGATCCGATAACCACAGTGGCAAACAAACTAAATCAAACCTCCCCATCTAAATCAAAATCTAGATCGATGGTTGAAGCAAAACAACAAAACCAAGATTGATGGTTGAAACAAAACAACAAAATGAAGATCGATAATTGAAGAAAAACATAGATCTATGAATGAGGCAAAGAGGCACCGACAGCTGTAGAGAAAATGAGCATGAATGTTTAAGAGAGATAGAGATCAGCAATGGCTGACAAAGATGGAAACGTGGATTTTCATTTGTTTGAGCAAGGTCAAGGAGACCCCTTTGCGGTGGTGGTCGATACAAAAGATGGAGATGGCTAGAGACAAAAGGTATTGAAAACAAATGCAAAGAAGATGGAAATGGTTGTCAACTTCCCATGTAACTATTTTGAATTTGCAAGTTTTCAATCATGTTTTTTTCTTTCCAGAAAAAGATTGATGGACGAAAAGGTTTCCATTCTTGTTCTTCTACCAGGGAAGGATTGTTTTCAATTTGTTTCATTTTTTTTTTTTTTTGATTTACAGGTTTCCAGTTGATATGCATGTGTTTTGGTTGGAAAACCCAAGTCATATTTGGTCGCAACCTAGAGCTGGTATCACAGTGTGTATGTGTGGCCTAAAAACCCATATCAGATCTGGTCTCAACCCTAGAAGGGTATTACAGTAGGTTACTGTCTTACTGTTAGAAGTTTTTGGGTATCACAATGGCTTTGTATCTTATTGTTTAGAAGTTATTGGTATCATAATTGGTTTGTATCTTACTGTTTAGAAGTTCTTGGGTATTGCAATGGTGTATGCTGGAATCAGTTAGGTCGGAGTAAGGTTCGTCAGTCAGAGAGAAGGGAGAGAGGAGAGGAAAGAAGAGAGAGTAAGATAGTTAAAAAAAAAACTGATTTACCCCTAAATATTATCACATATATATATGACATAATTTAAAAAAACCCTATAATTATCATACGTGTGATATTCAAAATAAACGACCCATTTGATTTGAACAGTTTTATTTCTTAATTAAACATAAAAGGATAATTTAATAGTTTGATTTTTTCTGACAATTGATCAAAAATTATTTAATTTACCCATTATATTAATAAAGTCGATTACCACACACACACAACATATATATGTATATGCAACTTTATATTAAAAAAACATCAAATTTGATGAGACTATTAACACACAAAAAAAACTCAAAGCTCTAACTACATTTAAAAAAAGGCTAAATTTATAGGCATGTATTAAAATAATATATTTTATTTACTATAAAATTATTTTTAATAACAATAACTATAATTTTCAAATATATATTATAATAATAAATAATCAGTAATTAAATTATTTAATATAGAGTAGTTAAAATTAAACAAAAACAATTTTTTAATATGTTTGATATTAAATAATAATTTGTATAAATACAAAAACTATATAATATTTAAAACTGAATTACATATATTAAATATATAATTATTTAGAGTGAATTTCATTGGTGATCCACGAGGTTTGTTCAAATTTTAGATTTGGTCTTTAAAACAAACTATCTATATTGATAGTTCCTAACTTTTCATTTTCATAACACACACAGTCCCTCTACTTAACACTATTAAAAACTTCAGTTAGATGGATGCAAGTACTCCCATATGAGGGCAATTATATCATTTAACTTCTTTTCTTTGTCCCGCCTCCTTTCTCAATTAGATTATTCACCACCCACCACCACCACAACCCACCATTGATAACTACTGTCAACCGTTGTAAATTAGGGAAAAATTAGTGAAGATAGTTTGGTTTACGAACGAAATCCAAAATTTGAACAAACCTCATGGACCATTAGTGTAATTCACTCAATAATTTATAAAGTAGTTAATAAAAGTTATAGTAAGGACCGCTTTTAAAAATATAGATGAATTATAAGTGTATAGATGATAATTACAAAGATACAATTGAAAACAAAAATGACTCTTGATGTCTAAGTCTTTACGTTACCCTCAACTAGGTGTATACAAAAAATCGTTAACTTGTGAAACCCGTCCAACCCAACCCGCTAACAACCCAATTAAACTCAACCCGCCAAACTGTCAAACCGTCAAATCGCTAATTAGAGGATTGAAATTGAGTTAGCATAACTCAATCCAATCCAAACCGCCAACCCGTCAATAATATATATTATTTTTGTAAAAGTACGTGTGTGTGTGTGAGATATTTACAACATTATAATTTTAGAGCCTAAAAATATGTATATTTTTTAATCTAATTTACGGCCCAAAAATTAATACATGTATCATTGGTCCAATTTATAGACCAAACTTAATACAACTATGTGTCTAGGTCAAGTCTAATTCAATTCAGCTCTCTTCTCGTATACGTCTAACGTCCCTTATTCGTGACTGCCGACCGGACTGTGGTTGCTGGCTTGTTGCCGACCGGACTGCTCTCGTTCTCATATACGTCTAACGTCCCCAATTCTGCTTCTTGAGTTCCCGAATTGTTTTCTGCTTGCTATGAGACTGTGGTTGCTGGCTTGCTGGTGACCGGACTGCTCTTGTTCTCATATACGTCTAACGTCCCCAATTCTGCTTCCTGAGTTCCCGAATTGTTTTCTGCTTGCTATGAGACTATGGTTGCTAGTTTGCTACAGGATTGTGGTTATTGCTAGTTTTTGCTTGCTACGAGACTGTGATAGCTGTGAGTAAATCGTTTTATGCTTGTACAGGTATTGCTTTTGTTACTCGTTTTTTGTTAGTTTATGTTCATTTTCTGCTAGTTTTTGCTCGTTTCCTGCTTGTTGCTTGTTAATAATCGCTCGTTTTCTACTAGTTTTTACAGTTTTGCTTCTTTAAATTGGTTGTGGTTTACCGGTTAAGTGGTTTGCATATATAAATTGGATGTGGTTTAATGGTTTGCATATTTTCTGAAAATCTTATGACTTTCTTGAAGAAGGTAAACTTAATAATGGTTCTTTTTCATGTTTATATATTATTAATAAATGGTTTAACCTTTTTTTTTAATTCTAGACGAACACAAGGGGAATCCAATATCAAAGTCGGAGAGGTGCAAGAAGGTTGTACTTGATTGAGGATTTGAATCGGATGCTATCATTAGACTTTTGAAGTTTGATTCCAATACTTGAGGATTTAAATATATTTTTAGATGATTATAATAACTAATGACTTTGTTGGATAGATTTTTAGTATTATTGATCTGTATTTTATTTGTCAAATTTATGAATATTAGTAAACCGCTGACCTAACCTGATCCAGCTTAACCTCTAAGAGTTGATTTAAATAAGTTGGGTTTGATTGAGATTTTTCGAACAATGGTAATTGAGTTTGATTTTAAAAATGAATAAAAAAAAAAGAAACTTACGCCATCCCCAGTGCACCAGACCAAATCAAACCAAAATCCGTGGAAATGGTAACGCAAGGCGGGAAATCAAAAGGTGGTATATGAACATCTAGTCTTGCAACACACGCTCAAATCATGGCAAACATTTGCGTCTGCGCGAGATTCAGGCCTGTAGATGATGCTGAAGCTATATGCATCGCACGCTCTGATTCTCAAAGTTTTACTCTCAAGGTTGCCCACCATCTTCTTCGCTTTACGAATTCGATTATGTAATAGCAACACAATTCTTGTGACTATACCCTATCAGTATAATTCATTTCCTTTGTCAGGATGATAAGGATGAACAATACATTTTTAGCTTTGATAAGGTGTTTTATGAAGATTCCCAGCAGGCGGACGTCTACGATTTTCTGGCTCGCCCTATTGTGAGAGGTATCATCTACTGATTTGTGTGTTTTTCCTGGACTGTTTTTGCCTCATTCCAGCGCATTTCTGTTGAATTCTTCTCTGATTTATGGTAAACATCATCTTCTATAGAAATTGGAGCTAAATTTTCATGTTACTCTTAGATCACTGAATACTTTAGTTATTTAGGTATTGTTTACACACACAAATGTATATACACGTATATAAGAAATATAGGGAAATGGAACTTATCGTTCGAGTCCATTAGAATAATGTATTCATCTTAATTCTTGATTTTGATGTTCATATCTATGTAACAGATACTGTTAATGCAATTAATGGCACAATTATCGCATATGGACAGGTATGTGTACAATCTAATCTGATGAGTTACTTATGTACATTTGATTTTTTTAAAGAGATTGATGACAAATAGGGGAACCGAGAATTATTTACAATTTCAACTCTATGATAATTTTATAGTGTTATTTGGTTATTTCTATTCGATAAACTCCTGTGATGTGTTCTGAAACTGCTATTCAAGCAAAAACAGACTCCTGGAAATGAATCCTTTTAGCTAGTTATATGCTTTTGCATTAATTGAAAATGTTATATGATATTGAATGAAAACTATGATGTCTCTATTTGTTCAAATAGCTTTAGTATCAAACTGATGAATTTTCATATGAACTTTAACAGACTGGAGCAGGGAAGACTTATACCATGGAGGTGATGTGCATTATATAAATGCAATGTTCCAAAAACAGTTGCTTCAAATGAAGTCCATATTTGGCTTTTTGGATCAGGGGGCCAACATTTTGGAAATGGTCAACCACAGGAAAGGATTACTACCCAGAGTGGTAGATGAGCTTTTTGAGGCTATAAAACTTTGTGGTGAAGCGAATGCTTACACGATCAAACTATCAATGGTATAAGAAAACTATTCTCTTCATGCCATTAGAACTAGAATATGATGCAATGTTTCAGGAATCCGTTACTAGATGCAATCTACATGATTTGACACCGCAGGTAGAGATTTATATGGAGAGAGTAAGGTTAGCAACTGATTGTATATCTTCCCAAGTGCACACAGAAAGTTTCCAATTATAATGCACAAGCATTTTGTGGTTGAAGAACATGTCTTATAACTGCAATTGAGAGTATTTTTTGCAGGGACCTTTTTGATTTATCAAAGGACAACATACAGGTCAAAGAGCATAAAGGGCATGGCATATTGTTATCTGGAGTAACAGAAGTAAGTTTAAATATCTTTCATATGGAAACTTTTCAGTTTGTTGCATTTCCATACTTCTGTGTAAAAGTCTGCTAAGAAATCCAAATCTTCTCAACAAGCTTGTAGAATGTTCGTCTTATACATAATAAAATATGATCTAAATTATTTTTTCGCTTTGTTGTATTCCAAATCTAGATTATTTCTGAACTTCGAAATGAGCCAGATCCCAATTTATGAGCAGTTTGCATTATCTTGTTTTTCACAACAACATTCTCATTAGTTGTCAGTTTTAGTGTTAGTGTTTTTAACATTCAAGTCACTCAAATTATCAGCCATTTGGAACAAAATTTTTCCCTAGTGATCTATGCTGTTACTGCGGTCAAAATACAAAATATCGGTCATGACCACTATTCGATATATCAGTTATGTCGGTGATATATCGGTCCAAAATAGCGGTTAATATAATATTTCTTAGAATTATATTATATATATATATATATTATATATATGCATCAATAAACATATCATATGCATTAGTTAGAGTTTAGAAATATAGTTTCAAAATTAAAACATCACATAAACTGATAAACAAGTCTCACAAAACAAAATAGGAAAAGTGTTCAAAAACGAGCTAATCGCAAGCAATAGGTTCGGCATCCGAGTCAACATCATCTAATATGTTCACTTCTTCGTTTAGGTAATAGTTGAGACCTAATATATGTGACCAAATAAAGAGCCCAAAAAACTAAGCCCAACATGTAATAAGAAAAGCCCAAATATTTGTCTTATAGAAATTTGGTATATCAGACTGATTTTCCATCAAAATATCGGTAAATATCGGCGATATTATCGGGACCGATATTTCACCACCGATTTTTTCCCCAAGTCCGATATCCGATATATCTGCGATATATCGCGATTTTAACAGCATAGATTCAGGTACTTGGTACTTCCATAAAAAAAAATATTAGAACTCTATGTGGTACAAAGCAGACCTCAAGAGTAAAAAAAACAATAGTACACACTCTATAAAATACTTAACCCTGCAAAGAAGAATCAAAGGCACCTTCAATTAACAAGGGTCTACATCATGACATCCCCCTTTCAAATTGATTTTACTTGTAAAACCTCAACAGAACGAGAATTGAGCAGGCTGTCAAACCTTTTCAACAAGTGGCAAAACTCCTGATCACAATCAGGCATTGAACTTTGAATAAGATCTTCATGCAGCAAAACTAAATTAATTATGTGGGTTATCAACAGCAGGCAGCAGCATATATCAATGATGTACAAACCCACATGCAGATTTCTCTTAATGATTATCTCCAAAAGAATAATCCCAACACAGAGATGATACAATTGAAAAATGACTTCATGACACTTCTTTGAATCTTGTGGACTCTTAACCTCTTGCAGATTCTTATTCTGCCTTCAGCACAATTCTTTCAAATCTTGATTCCATCTTAAACCAAGTAGCCAACCACAACACCAAAAGTTTAAGATTGAAAAAGCATGCTCTCACCTATAACTCTGGATTTCAAGATAGACAATCGATAAATGCTACATGAAAATTCTACAAGTAGAAAAAGAACCGTCAAGAACAATATCAGACAATGATAGAAGGTCTAACCAAGGAAAGAAGGACCACATGGAAAGGAGGGACCAAACAAAACATTTGTAAATGGCAGATGACTTCCAGAGTATGGTTGAGGCTTTTTTCATTATTCTGATACACATTGAGAAGTGACTTGCTTTAGAACTTATAATGGAATTTTGATGGTGTGAACCAACTCATCACAATGTTTATAGTTTCATTGAATCATTATGACTACAACTAAGTTTATGGTTTTGTGCCGTTAAATTACTTAAATGGTACGTGTTCACTGTGACTAGTTTCAACATGTATCAGTTTAATAAGTAACAGACCTACCATTTTACAGATCTCGATATTTGACAGTGAAGAAGCATTAAAAAGCCTATGTGTAAGATCAGACTTTACTATAAATCTCTCTTGTGAAAACCTTAGACTATTCAAGAAGAAAACTAAATATTAGTTATCTTCTGCTTCTTCATCTTGGTGATGCAGAGTGGAATAGCAAATAGAGCAGTTGGAGAGACTCGTATTCTTCTATCTCTCTCTCTCTCTCTATATATATATATATAATTCTTCAGCAGTGTTAAAAAAGGCACGCCATGGCGCGATATGGCGCATGACGCCTCTCCGCCATTACAAAATGGCCCATAGCGTTTTTGTAAGGCGTGGCTCATGCCATGGCGTGATATGGCACAAGACGCATCTCCGCCGTTATGAAATGGCCCATAGCGTTTCTGTAAGGCGTGGCTCACGCCATGGCGCGCCTTTTTTGTAACACGTGATCTTTTTCCAAATTATTTTTATTTTTTTATTTTTTATCTTTTGTGTTTTTACACTTTTAACTTTAGATTTTACATTTTTATAGATATAACTATTCACATCACTCACAGTTTCACAAATTTATAAACGTTATAGAATCACGGCTAAAATGAAGTTGTAAAATTACCTTTTTAAGTTCTATTTTAAATATATAATCAAAAACCTACTTTTATAATTATAATCTATATGATTTTCCTTCTAATATGAATGTACAATTTTCTAATGTCATTATCTGATTAGATAATATATATATATATATAATTCTATATATGACATACAAATTTGCCGCCTTATGTCACGCCTTGAAAAACGTCGCATCCTCGACGTGGCGTTTAAGGCTTGAGGCTTGACCTAGCCGCCATGCCACGCCTCACGCCTTTTTGAACCTTGTTCTTCAGTCATGAGTTCATAAAATCATCGTAGAAATTTCATGTTAGTTGTTTGATTGACTTGCCAACTCATGTAGGAATGAACATGGGAAGCAGTAGAAGTCATTGCATCTACATATTTACTGTTCAGAAAGAAGTAACAAATGAGAAAAGGTCTCGTATTTTTGCTTCAACAATTTACAAGTTATTAGAATTGTACGTCTGTAGTTACTAGCATGGAATTATGAACAGGGTGAGCAGCGGAAAGCTTGTTCTTGTAGACTTGGCAGGATCTGAGAAGGTTGAAAAGACGGGTGCCGAGGGAAGGGTTCTTGAAGAAGCCAAGGCCATTAACAAATCACTTTCTGTGCTTGGAAATGTGATTAATGCTTTGACATCGAGTCAACAGGGCAAAGCATATCACGTCCCTTATCGTGATTCAAAGCTTACTCGAATCCTACAGGATGCTCTTGTTAGTACAACCCTCCATCTCATTATGTGTATACATTATAATGATTGTATAATCAGCAATTCTGTTTTCCATTCAGGGAGGAAACTCCCAGACTGCATTACTTTGCTGTTGCTCACCAAGTCTTTGTAATTTATCCGAGAGTCTATCCACCCTACGGTTTGGAGCAAGGTATATTGTTATCTTGAATATAGTTGATGACATTAATTTAAAAGATTGTCGTTGACCGTTGCTGTCGAGATGTATGCACATCAGATAATAGAAATATTGATTGACATGCCAAGTGCATGATAGCAGCTCTCTACTGGAATGACACTGCATTTTTTTGTAATGTGGGAAGAATTAATTTGTTTTTATAGGAAAAGAATGAATAATAGTTTTTATGGTTGGCAGAGCTAAACATATAAAGGCATCATCATCATCATCATCATCATCACACATGAGTTGCAAGGACGATATGTTTGATAGGAAGCAGGAGACATCATTTGAGAATGTGAAAATAGTTGAGAGAATCCTAAGAAAGGTTTGGATGATTCAATTCTATATTATCTGCAGTATAGTCTTTTAAAGTAAGGAAGAATCTGTTACACATGTGCAGTTAAGAGACAAGTTGGATGTCAAGACGATGAATCTGTTGGTGATGGATGGAGTTTTCTCATCAGGTGAGGAGGAGGAGGAGGAGGAGGAGGAGGTGAATACTATTACTTCACAAACAATATCCTCATGGAAGGAAGCAACTGAAAAGCTTGTTAAGACTATTATTGAGGTAAGGTAACAACATATATAATGGGAAAACTACATCTTTGATATATATAACAAATATAAAAATGGAAAATATGGTTTTTGCAGCTAAGGAAAGAGAAGAAGATCCTCAAGGATGAGTACGAAGCGATGATGGAGGAGTACAGGGTGATGATGCGAAGCAAATTAATTAGAGAAAAAAAGGTTTGTTTGCTCCTGGGACTCGGCTTTGGTGTTTTAGCTTCAATCTGCTGCTGCTTCCTTTTCACCATTCTAGTTTCTTGATAGTTTATGAAATCTCAAGAATTGTCTGGTCAATCCTTTCCTTCATCATGCAACATTTTTGGATGTTACAACCAATTAACTTCAAATCAATGAATTCGTTTTTGTTTTTTCTTTATATTATAAGATTTTAATTTTAAAACAAAGTCAAAATATTCTTGGTTTTTTTACCCTTTCTAAACCTTGGTAAGATTACCAAATATCGATTGTCAAGCTTGTTGGTAAAATAGTCCTTGGGAATCCGTCACTAATCCTTGGATTTGATGAAAACCTCCAATTCACACATTAAATGTACTTATATACAAGTATATGTATAATATATACATGTTTGTATACATACATATGTAATATACATTCATATATATGACTAGCTATACACTATACTTGTGTATATATATATCATATGTAAATATACATTTGAAGCTTTGTATCTATTAAGGCCCACGACAACTCCTTATAACCAATTAGAACTCATTATCAACATCCAATACAATTTCATGAAAATAAACATCAAATTCAATTTGTTAGCATGTTGATGCCTGGAGAGGAGGGATTCTAAAGAAACTGAAAAAAAGGGTAATCAAGCAAAGGGGATTGGCTTTGTTGGAGCTGGCAAACGGCCAATGCTGTCAACTTTGTCCATCTGCTTTGGTGGAGGTCTTGCTGCTTTCGGAAGCAGTCTCCCCTTCTTCTCGAACCACTCTGGTTTTAGCAGAGCACGAAACCCTAGGTTATTATAATACACTTTTCTCACAGTCCCACCAGCTGCTTCAACTGCTTCTTTTGCACGAACAGTCGCCCTTGAAACCTGCAAACTCGTATGTAATACCAAAAAAGGAAATTGTCGTAATGATTTAAAAGAAACGAGTGGATCACCTCAAGATGAATTGGCCACTCTATATGTTCGGCACCACGTCCCATCAACCTCACTCCATCTCTTATTTGCTTTCCTATCGCCCCTGTATCCTATTTCAAAACAAGATAACAATACCACCGCATTTGACTTATAAGTAAGATTAGAAAAAAGATGAATATAATACCTTTAGGGTTTTCATTGTGATCAATTCTGAAGAATCAATCTTCCCAGCATTGATCAACCTTGCAATCTTTCCCAAACCAACTGGCTGCAAAAAATGTGGTGCAGCTTTCTCTTAGGTGTGAATTTGCTTTGTAATAGATACTGATTCAGAAGTAGAAAGGAAACCAGCACCTGGCTTATGAGTATCACTATCACCATATCAAGATTTAAATGAACAGAGAATGATCCTACAATGAACGCAGTTGATTACATATTTTAAGCTCCATGAATCACTTGACGCCCCCAATCGTTCCTCATCAAAATTACCACTAGAATTTTTTGCTGAAGATTATCGACCATGCGTATCCATTACTTATGGTTCTTGTAAGACGAGCTGTTGTATGCTCTACTAAGAGTAAATTATCTACCCACTTTGTGAAAAATAGCGTTATTATCCTTAATCACCCATCTTGCATATGTATTCGGCTATGAGTTTGTTTGTTTCTTTCTAAATCTGCAGCTCCCAATTCAAAGTTTGATGCGTCTGAAACTTTTGATTTCCAAAATACTAATAATCTAATGCTTAGATATATATAAATATATATATATATATATATATATAGTTAGTAGATTTTTGATTTTTCACACAACCAAGAGAATCATTGACGACAAAGACCTTCCAGCCTAGTGGCATAGTCATGAACCCGAGTTCGAGCCCTGGGAGAGGAGTGTTGGCGACATTTAAGTAAGGCCATGTTTAGCCTCCAAATTTGCCGGGGATTAGTCGGGCTTTGGCCCGGACACCCTTACAAAAAAAAGAGAATCATTGACAGTTGTGATGTTTAAAAGCACTAAACCTAACACTAGAAAAGTTTGTTGTGAGACGTCTATTGGAAAAGAGGCAGTATTATACATCAAAAACATGTTATTGGCGTTAAAATTATTATAGAAAACGAATAGAAATTACCTGAAATTCAAGGCTAAAAGGGTTCTTAAAACCCCGCTTGGGCATTCTACGCCTCAAAGGAGTTTGGCCACCTTCAAAACCAAACTTATGAGTCCCTCTAGCCTTCTGTCCCTTATGACCCCTGCCTGCGGTCTTACCCTTTCCAGATCCGATTCCACGGCCCTTTCTTGTTTTCTGTTTTGTAGCACCTTTATTGTCCCTAAGATCATTCAAACTCAACAAACTGTATGCGCGAATGCTATGAACCCCAAACGAATTACCAGGTTTCTGAACTAGGTTTGAATGATGTATTGGGTTGTTCAATCCACAAGCAGAAAATGCCGAAGACTGATATTTGGTATACAGAACCTGCAAGAACAGAAATTTATATATACTTAGTAACCAGTCCTGAATATGGTGAAGACATGGCCAATAATCCAACAATAGATTATAACAAACTTACTAAAAAATATATCATCACTATCGCAAATCAGAGTGCATTGTTGAAAACCTACAAATCTGTTTACTATTTGAACATCAAATTTAACAGGAATTATTTAATTAAATAGAAAAAATGGTAATCATAAACAATCGAATAAGTAAAAACCTAACACTAAAATGTAAGAGTCAGTTCTGTAGTTGGAAAAAGTAGGAAAAACACGAATGGACATTAAACATGAGATGGAAGAACAAAGGTATAAGTTATCAATCCCATATACACAAACAAACAACTAAGATTGACATGAATTTCGTTCTTCCCGAGCTTCTTCGTTCAATCCATCGACTAAAATCATAAAATAAACAAGCACTAAGAAAAATATTGAGACAAACAAACAGAAAGACAAGAGATGAAATAGATTCAAGTAGAAATGAGAAGCATACAGATTTGAAGGCGGAGAGAGGAGCAGATGAGATGTCTCGCCGACGAAGAGACCTGAGGAACGCAGCAGTCGCCATGAAGTCTGTGATTCAGAGGAGGAGGTGATCCTTTAATTAGGGTTTAGCACGAATCAACGACAAAAATTCTGGAGCGAGGGTATGGGGAGATTGAGAAAGGGGCTTTTGAAACTCGATTTGTCGAATCTTCCTACTTCTCAATTGTTCCGATGAGATCCGGAAAATGAGAAAGTGGTGGAAATACAAGGATAATACTACTTTAGGGTTAGTTTGTATTGTAATAACCCAAGGTTCATTTTGGTTAAACAAAATGAAGATAATGGGTGGAGTTGAAAGAGGTCTTACCTACGCTAGATTCAAGCGGGTGGGTTCTATTCATGTCTCAGGTTGCGTTTGGTATATAAGACGCGACAAGACGGGATAAAACTTAGTGTTCCATGTTTAGTGTAACATGAGATAGAACAAAAACTCTTTATCACACGTTTGACGTGACATGAGACAAAGACAAGAACTGAGATAAGGTGGGATAGCATGAGACAAAAAATGTTTTTTCTTGTTCCACCAAAATAGGTGGAACAAGATGGGACACAAATGAGACAAAAACTAAAATATTACTAATCTACCATAGTTTGATATATAACTTTAATATGGTATTTGTTTTAATGGCCATCACTGCTAGTTTCGGTCGTCGTTAGTTTTGGTCGCCGCCACCACCGACGACCACCTCCACCTCCTCTTCCACTACAACATCCTCCATCGCCTCCACAACCACCATCTATCATCGTCCATTGCCACCTCTATCATGGTCGAGCACCACTGTCCATTGCCACCACCACCATCACTACCGTCGTTTGCCACCTCCAACTCTTCCTCTACTACAACAACCTCCATTGCCACCTTTACAACAACTATCGACCACCGACCACCACCATCCGTTACCACCAACACTACTAACATTGGCCACCTCCACCTCCTCCTATAATGTAACAACCTCCTCCATGACCTCCACAACCACCGTTGACCATCGACCACCACTGTCCATTGCCACTTTTACAACCACCATCTTCCATTGTCATCACCACTACCACCGTTGGCCATCTCCAACTCCCCCTTTACTGCAACAACCTCATCCACGACTCCACAACCACCGTCAACCATCGACCACCACCGTCCATTGCCACCTCAACTCCACCATAACCACCACCACCACTATCTTCACTACATCAGTCACAACTACCTCCTTCACCGTTGACAACAGCCATCACCACCACAATCCACCCTCTCCACGTCCTCTATAACCATCGTTGTCCATCAACCACCATTGCCTCTACCTCCATAACCACCGTCGGCCGCCGACCACCACCGCCCATCGCCACTACAACCGTCGGCCACCACCACCTCCACCATAACCAAAAACCCCTCCACCACCCCATCACTAATACTACCATCAATTATATCAAAATTTTTATTCAAATTTGATACCATTATACATGTACGTATTCATTTATATGAAAATTGTGTAAAAATATTTATAAATTAAATTCTTTAATTATTTGCTTTATTTGTGTTAATAATAAATATTATATAATATTTAAAATCATCAAACAACTTTTTAGGGTAACTTGTCTTGTTTTGTCCCGTCCAGTCCTAGTTGTACCAAACACTAGATATACACTTGTTCTATCCTGTCCAGTTATGTCCAGTCCTATTATCGTGTCCTGTCCAGTGTCGAATAACGTCTGCGTACCAAACGCTACCTCATTTCCATCGGTTGAATCATAGATTCGTAGTAGGTGTGTGTGAAAATTAAAGAGGAGAAAGGGATTGAATCTCCATTTCTAGTAAGATCATCACCCTTTTTAAATTTCTTAAATTCTTTGTTGAAGTTTATTTGGGGTTAGGGCTCTATTATGTTATTAGAATGGTTTTAATTTGAAAAGATGATTTTTATGGTTGAAAATTTATATTCGATTAGGTCTTAGCATAACCATTCACCTCACTCATGATGTAAAGTACGGAAGTGCCCTTTCTTTCAAAGAGAAGTGGACGAATTATTCACATTTCATTTGATGATCAAAGGCGAATTGATTTATGTTGATCCCAGATCTCTCAATAACACTAATAATCTAGTTATGAATAACCAAATTATAGTGATTTTACGAAAAAAGTTATGAAGTCTCAAAAATAAAATAAGAACATTCAAGAACAGTTTTGAGCTTCAAAGATTTTACTTAATAAAAAATGAAACGTAAAACAAAGAGTAAAAGCGTTTTTCTCTATCACATGCTCTTTTACAATAGACCTAATCATCTATTTATACTAGTTGGCTAATACTAAGATAACTATATATTGCTACTTTCTRGCAAATAGTCTAGCTAACAGATAARGTTTATCTTTTACATGGATAAGCATTATTAACAAGATAAACTATAATTCCAACTGTTGATTATCAATGTGATGATTTTATCCTTATCTTCAAATCTTCATTGCACGCTTGGATGAATACTTAGAAAATCTTCTTAAGTGTTTGTCTGTCCAGAGCATCGATGAGAACGCTTCTTTCCATCGCATCGTCCATCGGTCTTCTGGTTGAACTTCGTCCATCGGTCTAATGTTCATCGATCCT